AATAATAATAATAATAATAATTATTATTATTATTATTATTGTTGTTGTTGTTGTTGTTATTGTTATTGTTATTTTAAATTTATTGGCCACCCAACTCCAGTGGACTCTGGAAATCCTCACTGAAATCAAATGTTTGAATCTCGTGAGTCTGCCTCTAATTTGTGTACCCTTTTATTGCATCCACAGGGGAGGGTGTGTGCAAAAAAAAAAAAATTAAAGCAGGGGCTTTTATCACACAGTTGTGTCTACCATCTTGATTTTATTGACCCCTCCCCTTTGGAAACACCCCTGAAGTCAGTCCCTGTTCTTTCATGCTTGCAATGGTTTACAGTGCTTTTGCTTTTCCCTTTTCCTAGGATGAAATGTCTAATGTCTGGGATGTTTGAAAATCATAGTTATAACTATTTGTTTTGTTTTGATCTGAATTCTACACATTGGCCCAACCATCTAGCAGGTAGAGCAATGTTTCTCGACCTTGACAACTTTAAGATGTGTGGACTTCAACTCCCAGAATTCCCCAGCTAGCACACGTGGACTTCAACTCCCAAAATTCCCCAGCTAGCACACGTGGTCTTCAACTCCCAGAATTCCCCAGCCAGCATGGCTGGGGAATTCTGGGAGTTGAAGTCCAGCAGATCTTAAAAGTTGCCATGATTGAGAAACACTGAAGTAGGGGGTAATCTTATAAATCATTTATAAATACGCTAAATTGTTCAAAACAGTGATCAGGAATCAGCTTCAGCCATACTTACTGTTCTGGTCTCATTCTTTGCCATTTCCATTCCCAGATTTTGAAACAGTTTCAGGCTGGTTTAGGCTCCTCGTCCCTGTCACCATTCTCAACATGCAGAAGAAGCTTCATGAGTCCAAAAATTGCACCCAGCTGGTGCTCTGCTCCTTCCCCCTCCATGGCCTGTGGTTGCTGCCCTGCCACCAAGTTGCCATTTCTCCATTCAGTTTATTAAAACAACAGAGAAAGTTTAGCATGACTCTGATGTGGTTTAACTTCTGCAAGGAGGGAGGAGAACCTGAGAGGCGGGATGAGGCAAGAGTTCCTGCAGGTAGGGATGTGCAGGTATTTGGATCCGAAGCAGAAAAGGTGCTTCAGAGCTGGCGTGGGTGTGCTTGGGTTTCCTGCTGAAGCACAGCTGATAAAAACACACTTGATCTTAGCCAAAAGGCTGAGAAGCAATATTGGAAGCATGTAACTTTGGAGCTGATCCAGAGGGCGCAGATGCACACGTGGAGGCGTCCTTAGCTCCACACACATCCCAGCTGCAGCCACAAAGGAAGCCACTGACACACGGATCTATGTGAAGCTTCAACAGAGTGCACCAACAGTTAAGTTGGCTTTTGCCGATCAAATCTGCAGCCTGGGCAAAACCTACCCTGACTTAATGCTGGAAAGGGTTGAGGTCAAGAGCACAGAGCTGCAGAGATAACGACAGAAAGGAATGCAAGATAAATACTTTTGCAAAGCTTCCATAACACTGCCTCTAAACCAGTGTTTCTCAACCTTGGCAACTTTAAGACGGGTGGACTTCAACTCCCAGAATTCCCCAGCCAGCCATTCAGTTCTGGGAGTTGAAGTCCACCCGTCTTAAAGTTGCCAAGGTTGAGAAACACTGCTCTAAACTATATGAATACAAATTTTACTGTGTAGCTTATACGTATAATCTGTATTTCTAGCTGTATCATTTCTGTAAGAAAAGCACACACACATCAAATAAAGGGACCTCTGGCCTATGTGGCCTGCCTTTCCACGTGTGTCCCAATAAATTTTGAATTAAGGTTGAGGGTGAAACCTTGATTCCCCAGAAGGTCTGGGTTAGTAGGTGGAATGTGCTGCCCCAAAATGTAGTTGGCTTTAGAAAGGATTAAACAGAGTCTGTCATCAAGATGACTAGTTGAGAAGAACAAGTAGATGGAATGACCATTTATTAACTGGTTGGTTGGTTGGTTGGTTAGTTAATAAATAAATAAATAAATAAATAAATGGTTGTGTGCAATCCAAGACTAGAACATCTGGTTGAGCTTTCTGTGATGATAATGCTGGAGGTTCACTGCAATGACATTGCTTCATCTCAGTCAAAGAGGAGCAACTAAATTCAACTCACTTCTCAGCAGGAACGTAATGTAACTTCTGCTGGCAATGACCTGAGTCTCCAAACAGCCAGGTATTTTGCATTGCAGATAAAGCGAAAATTCAGAACTGTCCATCCCCAATCCAGTAGCAGGTGGCCACAGAGAGAAGGTCTACCTTGAGGTTGTTCCTCACTGCCAAGTCGGTGTTCTGCCACCCAGTCTTTGAATAAACAAATATCAGCATCATGACATTTGCCATTCCAGTTGCCTATCTGTCTTTGCTCCCCATTCCTGCCAGTCACCTGACTTGACTTCCTTCCAAGATAATGGTGATAACACTATTTCCAGACCTTGAGCCTGCCCTTGGATGATGTTGGAATAAGAAGGAAAGTACTAATTTAACAGCAATGCTGCTAAGGGTCGCTGAAGCCTTTTCGCTCATAGGGTGGAGATGAGGGAAAGTTAATAGCGAGGGGAGACAGCAGAAAACACAGATTGCCGGGGCAAATTTGCATGAGGACCTTGGTTTCTGCAGAAGGCAATTCAAGTGGAACAGCAGTGGTGACCTCCCTCTGCTGGTGAAATACAGACATGTATTTTCCATCTTCAGAAATACTTGTGTATAAAGGAATAGAATTGCTGAAGTTTGATTTTCAGAGAAACGTATTTTAACAGGAGCATCTGCAGGGAGGGGCCCAAAGAGGCAAGATGGTGGGTGCAATTGAAGCCCCACCCTTTTTGACATGTGTGGATTGCAAGTTACAACCACCATCTTGACGTTTTTGACCCACACAACCAGACACCCACGGTGTTTAGAAAGCAACTCCAGCTGTCTACATCAAAACTTGCATTTAAAGCTCAGGTTAAAGTTTAATCTCACCTATTGTACAGCATCCTTCAGCTTTCCCCAACCTGATGGGTATGTTCTATGGGGTTGGGAGTATAGTACCCAGAATTCTCAGCATGCTGATTGGGGATTCTGGGAGATCAGTCTCAACATTTACAGGGAGCATCAGATTAGGGAAGCTAGTGTAGTAAGACTACAGTTAAACCATCTCACCCATATTTAATGTATAACTTGTCATTTCTGCAGAATCTCTACTGCGTCAAACCTTGTTTTTATTTTGCCCTAATATTTAGGTCCTTTTTAAAGTTTAAAGTGTGTTGTAACAAGCCTCTGTCTATATCTATTTTGGAGGCTCCATCTGAGTCATGAGACCTCTAGGGCTCAGAGATGGATCACCTTGTATCAAGTGGGGATTAATACCTCCTGCCTCTGCTCCAAAGAGATCAGTTGGATCTCTGGTTTGGATATCACAGCCCTGTTATGGCCTTGTAATTTAGCGTAGCTGACAATGAACTGCATATAGGTGAGCAAATAAATGAAGGAGCAAAGAATGCAATGCTCCATTTCACTCTTTAGCCAGTACTTTTCAACCTTGGCAGTTTTAAGATGTATGGACTTCAACTCCCAGAATTCCCCAGCCAGCATGGCTGGCTGGGGAATT